TAAAATTAGGAGGACATTCAATTTAATGGGTTCTTTGCAGATCAAAGTGAAATGTTAATTAAGTCAACGCTTCTACGATTAATAGCCGTAGATATGTCACAAGGACACAGGGATTTAATTAAACATGTTTGATATTTAAATTCATGATGGTACCCCAAAAACAAAAAACTCGTCAATGTGCGCGGTCAAAGATAATTCACGTACCTATTTGATGTTAATAATTCTTCTTCGTTATTAGAATTTTATAACATTCCAAGATCAAGGATATGTCTGATGGTTTTTTATACTAAGTTTTAAAGCTCGTTTTAGATTATCAAAATTCATCCACCTATTGACAATTTACAATGTAGGGACATTAAAGCTTGTTTCACACTAAGGTGACGCTCGCGCTCACACTCAAGATACGCTCAAAATTGATACAATGAAATCCAATAGGAATCCGCGTGTGTTTGGTGCTAGCTGTAGTGTGAACGTTCCTAGGTATTTGATTTCATTGTATCAATTTTGAGCGTACCTACCTTGAGTGGATCGTGAGCACTGCCAGTAAGCAAGCATTACTCAATCAGTTTCTTCATAAAAGCTTTTACATTAAAAATGCATCTTGATTGTTCTGTTTGTTGAGAACCTATATGAACTTTTAGTCTAGACATAAAAACACGTGTTTCGCCATACACGCCTTTCATTCTTCACATAAATTTTACAGATTTCAAAATAATATTCAGATAAAACATTTTCCATGATTCGTTAGCCATCCCGACGTATCGCCTGATGATGGACGAGAGAAAGTCCGAAATCGATAGCGACTAACATTTTCAATAAACAAAATTAGTGTAATACTTTCGACAACCATTAGACCACACTAATTAATATGGAGCCATTCATCAACAAAATCAAGGTTANAGGCCATAGCAACTTTAGGATAAATTTTTCTTAAACTTACGATAACTTGACTTCACATGGCACGCGCTGACATCACAATTCATTGTGAACTAACCTTCAATTATTTGTAGGTCCTGTGCACCTGGTATGTTCGCATTTAAAAAAATTCACTGTATAACCTCACATTTCGATGAGATGAACTGAACTTCTTATTAAGACTGTGGAAAATTTTGGGCTTCTCCCGCAAACTTTGTTATTGAAAACGCTTAATTAAGGTAGGGTACCCTCTAACAGTTTTTAGTAATCTCATGCTCGTAGCTCGGGGTTCATATAACGCTATGTAACAACAATTCATTTATGATAATTATACTTGTACAGAAACTTTATAGTTGAAAATAAGTTTCATTTTGCTATTTTGCTATAAGGTGTTTCTTCGTTTGAGTTGCATTTAGTCGATATAGCAAACGATTTCAGGGAAATGTTAATTTCCTTAGTGAATTCTAATTACATTAAATTTGTACACGCGCGTCTACACTGCGAAGGTGACTATATAGTATATATGTGTACAAACTACAAAGAACAATAAGATAAGGCATAAACATCCTTATAAATAAGAATTTTAGCATTGCACAGACTGCGGTCAGCCACACCTGATGTTTAAAATATACTATACGTTTGCCTTTCCTAGAAGAATCTTTGTGTAAAATTTCAAACAAATATCTCTATAAATAAGAATGTCAAAATTGCGCAGTTTGCGCATGCGCACATCTGATTTTTAAAATTTGCGATATGCTTGGCTTTACTGAAAACATCTGTGGTTTTCAAAAAATATATAAATAATAAGGGTGGCATTGCGCACTTAGCGCATGCGCAAATTAATCGTCAAGATTTTTCTTTATTCAGGTGCCAAAGCTACCTGCCCACATTAACCGTTTATTTTTCATAGCTCAGGTCCTAGAGTTAGAAACTACCGAATTAAAACGATCAGACCCAGACGGCAGAGAAAGTAGCAGCAATAACGCACGCAACTTCATTGGAAAATGCGCTGAAAATGCTACAATTTATTAAATGTTTTTTGCTAAGGCACCACCTCAACAAGTGTTATAAAAAGAATTAATACAATAAAATTGGCAAACAATTTGAGGTCTTTCATTAAACATTTTCCCAGCTATATAAATTTCCATAATTTTGGTTGAGCTATCTTAGCAAAAAGACATTTGATAAATCAAGTTAAATTAATGAAAATAAAATGTTCGAGGTTCCAAAAACCGAATGTGTCTATAATCTACGACCACAGAAGAGCAAGATTCGAGTATCGGTCACCCCAGATCTACGTGGAAAATTCAGAGACGGATGGAGTAGGTTTAAGTGATTCTAACGTTATAGAAATGGTCATAAAAGAAGGTACAGTAGCGTCTCGATACTTCGAACACCAACATTTTCACCCTGTTCGAATTATATGTATGCATGTTTGCTTTTCTTTTCATTGATGTTGAAGCTGTGAAGTGGTGCGAGCCGTGTGATAGTTCGGATTATTGGGGTGTTCGGTCGGTCGTGGGTACGGATTATCGAGACCCTACTACTGTATATTATTATCATTTGAAGATTCGACGTTTTATGTACGATTCACATATTTCTCGAACTTTCGGCAGTCCGCGTACCAATGACTTGAAATTAAGAGTATTTAAAAAATACCTACAGTTTATTCTGGTATCGTAAATTGTTTACAATCCTAGGTATTAGATTTTAATTTACTTTACTTAGTCAGCTGGAGACAAACAGTCAATTTCAGAGTTCGGAAGGTCAGTCAAGAACCTAAAACAAAATTACACCACACGGAAACAGTACCAATTTTTAAATGAAAATGGAAACGAAGGAAAACAACCCCCCCTTATAAGTAACTGAAAAAAAAATAGCGAGCCTATCTTGAACTTGAACCGTGAGGTGTAAAATTATATAAATAAACTAAATCGGCCTAAAATGTATGCCTGCAATGCGAAAGATGCAACAAGCGCCCTCTAAATCATGCCGTTGTCACCATAAAAATCTGGGACCAGTCTCAAAATTCATGTTCATTAAGCGCGTTTCATTTGACACGGAACGCGACCTATTTTTGTAACGTTTGCTGCAACACAATCAACTAAACCCTCGTTTAATAGGCTAGATTAAAATTTCAAAATTCGGTAGTCCAGTATTGTTAATTGGAATGTTTAGGTCAATCGCAAAGGTTCGCGTTATACGTAAACTGCACAGCTTTGCCTGCTTAAATACTCGTTTTCGCTTAACATTAGGAAACTAATTCCACACTTCATTATCATTGTCACCTTCTGGAATACAAATAATTTGCTCTAGAAGTTGTGGTTCCTGGTAAGCGCTCATTCGACTCCATCCATGCACCGGGTGTTTTACTACATTAGTGCTCATCTAAGGGATGATGCTGATGTTCTAGGAAAACGTACGTATTTATTTAGAAGCAACCATTAAATTAAGGATTTCCTAAAATATTCAAAATAAGCACTGATTTCACGCGTGGTTTTAAATGACAATGGCGGCGAGCGGCGAACGCAGATGAGGATTAGCCAAACGTTGGGCTCTAAGCTATGTGAATTTGTGGACGCCCTCAGTATCTTTTAAATTCTTCTTAAACTGTCTTGAAATTTCTGTCAATTCCGCCTTGACCCTTTGCGTCAATTCTCTTCAGTGCCCTTCAAGTTCGTCGCCCACTCCCCTTTTCCTCAGAGAAGATTCATTGAGAACATTCATGTGGTCCTCAACTTCTCACATTAAATGCATTTCACATATATTCTGCTAAAGTTCCTATTGAGTCCTCTAGTTCTCCTCAAATTCCCTGCATGCTCCCCTCAAGGTTTATTCAATTTACTTATGACCTCAAATTGTTGTCAAGTTATTCTAAAGTTCCTATTAAGCTTCTCCTAAGTTCCTTGGGAAGTTTCTCTCGCGCTAGTTTCAATTTTGTTTCCACTTGCTTGCCCCAAAGAGGTGCATCTTCAAGTTTCCAGAAAACTTCTGTCAATTGTTTATTGTTTTTAACAAGTTCAAGAATCTTTCTGGTACTTATTTTCCAGTGATCAGTGATTGCATGCGTTAGAGAGCAAACCGCAGGAGGATGTGCGGCACTTTTCGGTGGATTCGGGCATAAAAATGTACAAAATTTACAGTGCGTTTAACTTTTTTTGGACACTATTAGAAATAGCGTTTAACCAAGAAAATGGATATTAAAATTAGAAAAAAATTGGAAATGCTTTATTTGTTCGAAATCACAATTGTCTTTGCCGTTGATTTTCTGTACTGAAAGCGGCTAGACTCTTCTTTTTCATTTCGCCGTGGACATAACAAAAAAGCTCTTAGGTACAGTATCCGAGAAAAGCAAAAGCACTGTGTTTTCCTATACCTACTGTTTTAGTGTTATTGATTAAGCACCTAATAAGTGAATTCTTTTATTCAAAATGTCGATGTTGAAACCCCTATTCCTACACCTATGCACATTTAATAATTCTTCTTCAAGGATATACCCAAACGAAGACGTGGGATATGCCCAGTAACGTACAACCAATAAATCTTAATTAGTATTCAATGCAAATTATAATTTGCCTCAATTACGTTATAATCAATACCCAAATTAGCTAACAAGCACCTTCCTGGCTAACCCGCGCGGAGTAAAACGGACTTAATTTACCGCGAGATCAAATTCGTCGCGATATGCAAATTTCGCATTATTTCATGGGACTGGTGATCCACTATTCCGTAGTGACCTTTCGATGTCCGATAAATTAAACTTCTAATTTGCGCTATAAAATTTTTTATGTTGCCAAAGATAATTCTTTTACACGTCGTTATCGGATCAAAGCTGTAAATTATCATAATTTGTAGTTAACACTTTTTTTTGGGTAGAATATTGATTGCAAATGTTTCAAGATAAGTTGCGTACCTACATATCGCACTTGATACTGAAAATTTGATATCTTATACATAAATATTAAACGTGTTTCCGCTCTTGTTGACCACGGACAATAGGTCGACTGCTTACTATGTTACGAGATCTGAACCATGACCTCAACAAGACTGAATCTGTAATTTGGCATCAGGTGTGTCTAAGATGATTCGTAACATCAGTGGGGGTTTTCACTAAGTATATAAAACAGTAAGAATTGGTAGCCACTAACTGTGAATCGTTTGGATGTTCGCACCCTTCACAATGAAATATGTAAGTGCTCTCATACTCTAATTAGTATTAGTTAAGTGTAATTTTCTGCTCTATTGCTTATTTTTACTTTCCTTTTCAAAAACTGTTTCCTTTTTTCCAATACTGAACCTTTTTGGTTATTCGATAATTAAAAAAATTAACAAGCACATTGTGCTCAAACATGATTTGTCAAATTTTGGCAAACAAGTTTTTTTTAGATTAACATTATTTTCGTTTCTTGGTGTTGTAGTTGCTCCAAATGAAAAATCATTTGATTATTGGTTTATTTGAATTTACTTCATTGACAAGCTCTATGTACCAATCATTTAATTTTGCTTGAATGATGCTTTCCAGTTTACGGATCAATGAACAAAAGCAATAACTTAACATTTACTCAGAAGACTAGTGCATAATAATTATGGTACTATAATATTAAATTGTTAATTTTAGATCAATCCTTTAATGGTGCATCTTTGTGATGTAATATTACCTACCATAATTTTGAAGGTCCCTCTTGTAATTTGCATACAAACAATTAAGGTACAAATTAGGTATGGATGCGGTGTAGGAAGTTAATTTCATAATTACGATGTTTCATGCTAAAATTACTCTCTTCCTTTTTAATAGCCTAAAAATCAACGAAAAGTCAATGCGTTTGATAAAGTTAACTTCGTGATCTTCATTAATCTAAAATGCAAAAGATAAACCTCATTAAATTATGTATTCATTTTCATGAGTAGTTGAAGCGTAATTGATGAAGTTGTAAATGAAACTGTTTCAATGGGGATGTAATAATAGTAATTAGTATTTTGCAACAAAAGCTCTAACAAGAACTAATAACAACCTTTCGCGTAGAGCTGCTTTTTTTATATTTTCATTACAAATAATTACACTATTTGAATTTGTTTTTGTATTTCATTCGGCGAGGGATTGGTAGACGTTACTTAATCGCAATTATTTGTAAATATACCCACGTGCAGGTGATCAGAATATTGTCGTGCACCTTCTTGCTTACCGTTTCGTAGTGGTTAGTGATGTACAAATTAACAAACAATGAATACTGACGACATAATTCGAAAGCATTAGTAAACTATTAAAACATTTTGTTGTTACATTATGATTGTTTAGTCATCTTCAATGTACCTACTATTAGAGGTAGCAAAATATATTTTTCATATTCAAAATAATCCTGATGTAATTAGTAATATATGCACACGCAATTCTCATTTGCCAGCATGTCTTTTTTCATTGTGCACGTAAAATTTATGGGACGACGTCGTTATAATAATTGTCGCTATTGTGGAAGCTGTGTACCAATTTGATATTGTGGGACGAAAAAAACAGGAACTGGTAGTAACATGAGTCTCCTATTGTTTCAAATCTGTCGCACTTCGTTACTGCCAAGTAACTTAATATGTGCGGAAGTTTAACATTCAAAGCAAAGGTTAAATTTTTTTGAAACAAAACGCGTGCAATACTGAAAATGTAATGGAATATGCTTGACTATTTCAGTTCATCGTCTCCTGTTTATTAGCGGTGGTTGCTGCGGCACCCCAATACAATCCGTACAACCAGTACGCTTACAACCCATACCGTCCAGACAATTACTCCCCATACCACGCTCAACCTTACGGTTATAACCCGTACCAACCAAACCCCTACTATCGTAATCCCACCGGATACTACCCAGGAGCCGTCCACCACCAACAATACCAAGCCCCTGCCGTTGCCGAAACAAGGGAAGCGCGTCCGGATGGTTCCTACTCATACAGGTTTGCAATTTACTCCAAAAGCAACGAGCTTATCTAACAAATCCGTTACAGCTACCAAACCGTAGATGGACAGCAAGTCCACTCTGAAGGTGCCTTAAGAGTGACCGGACCCGAAGGAGCCACCCCAGCGGTTCACGGATCTTACTCCTACAATGCACCCGACGGAACCCCAGTTACCGTCAATTACGTCGCCGACGAATACGGTTACCGCGCCCATGGTCCCCAAATTCCAAACGCCGACGCTATCGACCAATCTATCGCCCAGAACCTTCAAAGCGAAAGATACCACCATGGAGCTGTTCCATTTGTACCCAGCCATAAATAATTGATAAATCGACCGTTATTTATTTAGGCCCCGTTTTATGATGAATTAGATCCTAAAACGCGACCTAAGTAACTAGCAAAGGAAACGGTGAACTCTATTCTTCAATAAATTTGTAAAAAAATGTACACTTTTTAATGTAATAAAAGCTTTTTTATTTATGGTACATAACTAAGATTATTTAATTTGGCATCTTCCCAAGCAGATGGATAGTCTATCCAAAAATCATATGCCTACAATTGTATTTTAGTTTTGGTAGCTGAAGGTTGTTAGCTAACGGAAAACTATACGGGAATGGAAACTATATAATAGCATTGAATAAAAATTCAATGATAATGGTGATGACAGTAATTCCTATATGATGATGGCGAAGTAACGGCCTATCGATTCCATAAACAATGATCTTGGTTATCAGAAAATTGAGGCACGTTGGATTCTGGTAAATAAAAGATTGGCATGAGACATTACATTATTTGATCCGCTCTCACTAACAAATAACCTGCAGATGGTTTCGCAAACAATCAATCATTAAGTGCCAAAAGTGTAACCCTTAATGACAGAATTAGAGCCATTTTTGACTCTTTATTGTAATTCACATTGTACTGATCACAGCATCATTAGGTTGAAAATTGCGCACGATAGTTGACAAAGTTACAGCGATTGTGAGTGTATCTCGCAATTTAACCTGACCAACAACATAAGGAAGAGTGAATATCGCACATCTTATAGGTGGCACTATTTTTGTAAAACGGATGAACTTTCTTCAATAAGAAAGTTAAGTTGAATGTCCATAACAGACTGGCTAGACGTCGTCTCGCTTTGAGAAGATTCACAGCGACTTAATAACTTCTTTTCGATCCGTTCTCCGTTCAAATGGCAGAGTTTTTAGAGGTCACCCCTTAGATCTGTAGATATAACAGATATAACAATTTTCTCCGTTCGCGACATTCGAAACTAGTATGACCTAAACGTTCGCAATTCATACATGGTGAGCGTTCGATTAAGTCGTCGACTTGGATGAGAAACACAAGCGAATCCATTATCCAGGTTCTAAAAGTGGTAGTCAAGCATGATTTTGTAAAGACTCATGACGTGTAAAGTCATGCCGGATTTGATCAAAACTATGGCATTCGATGGTAATCGGTCCCAATTTAGATAAATAAAAAGGTAATAAGTTACGGCGAATAATGCGTACTTATTTCACATTCTGAAGGTGGTTGTTTCAGCCGAAGAGAACAAACCCTGTATAAAGGAAATGTAAACGTCAATTTTTTCGGAATTCACGTTATACCACATACGTGCGACCCCTTCAAAATGATCATACGCGATTTCAAAAAGTACGCGGTCTATCCCTCTAGCTCTACCTATTCGTTCAACCTTACCTAAGAAAGTATAAAGAGTGTCTCCCTTACCATCCCCTGTAAATTTTAGATCATATATTTACCGGGGCATCAGGTACATGAAATTTGAATGCTTTAAGATTTTGGTCTGCCGGATAAATAAATAAATAAATATCGGCTATCGGTGAACCTTCAAATTATGTCCGGGGTTGAAAATCGGGTAAGGTGATTAAGGGTCTTATAGATAATTTTATGGTCCAGTTAACCAACGAAAGCAGAAGGTAATATTATCGAGCGATATATACCCCACAATCCCTTACGGTTAGAAAAAAATCAAACGGGTAAAACCCCAAAATCTTCCCTTTTCTTAATTCCTTAGCCAATGATACCCACACAAGATGATGAACTAGGATTACATTGTTACAAATTCCAAGGAAAAATTACAGGGGGGTGATATCCGGAGATCTTGGAGGCTAGTTCCAAGAAAGCGTCATCATCTGGATAGTTGTTACGTACCCAAACCAAACTAAACGGAAATTTAAGAGTTTTTCTTTCCAGTGGTATCAGCTGAAGTGGTCAAATATACATACGTATTAATCCCGTAATTTCATGAATTAATTCCGGCTAGATTCACACTAATTTATTTATTATGTGTTCACTCAATGTTGTTCGTACCTGCACGTACCTAAAGTTTGTTATTTTTCCCTCTTTCTATGACGTTTCAATAGCTGTGATGCGCAGTTCCAAGAATAAAGATCGTTATTATTATTGTTATTAATATTTTCAATCGAAATCAGGAACATCATTTGTATTAACCCTGTATGATTTATGACTATGCTCCGACCCACAGACGGCAGTTTCCGGAATTATTCGTCCATCTTCCACTTCTTTCAAATCGAGGGTAAAATCTTGTTGTGGAGAATTTGAATAACAAACTCCTCTAAATTCCGTACTCGCGGTTTTGCAATCTATTACAGCAAGAAAATCTCATTATATGGCAGTTCTACATTCACATTGTACCCCATTGTAAAGGATCCAACTTCGGAGGCTGTGAGACCGTGGACTACATAACGTTTTATCTGTGGTTTCACTTTAAAAGAATCTACCATAGGGCATGTAGTTTTTATAAAGACCTATGTTCACTTTTTGGAGTGTAGCTACTAACATTGACGTCATTTTAACCCTTCTCAGTTTAACTAATTCGAGTTGGTTTTAAAATGAAAGTAGACGATCTTCAAAAGCGAATAACTTATGAACGGCCGAAGACTTTTTGTGTAAGCGGAAAATATTGAGAATTTTATTATTTCTTAAAGAGGGAAGAAGGTTTCTTTTGTAGGTCCCAAAAAATAAATGAGTAAAAAAATTCAATATCTTTAACACGGATCGGGAAACGATTTTTTCTTATAAATTTTCGCTCGTACATTCCCAGAATTTTCAAGATTCGACCACCTATTCTACCACCACATTAAAAGCCCTATCCTTTTTTTTAGAAATTGATTTTTGGTCCATACTACATAAATGTAGTCGCCCTATGTTAAAGGTCGTTTTGGTTTCTAATTGAACTTTTTCGTAAATAAACGACTAAATTGTGCACTTGAAAATATAAGTCTTATACGTTATGATGATTCATTTATAAAAGGCAAAGTTATTTATAGGAAGGTTTCTTGAGGATTCATTGGACCCCTTCGTGGTGATTCCGTTCCGTGATACGAAATTGATCATAATCAAAGTTTTGGAACAAACTGCCAAATTTTGTATATGTTTTGAAGCTTATTTCGCAATCGAATTCAATATAGTCATTTTATAAATACACACATTGTGCCTAAACCATTGCTCTAACAAAAAAATGTGATATACATAAGTACATTTTTATAGAGCTGTTAGTACTTTTTAATTTTAAAATTTTTTTCCTAAAAGCAATTCTGGCTTAGTTGCGAGCTAAAAAACACCCATTTCCTGTTTCTCATTTTCGCTTTTCGGTTGAGGCATTTCCGGGTGGTAAACTCATAGACCATATAGTACATGGACTGCTATTCGCCCTATGCTTTCAATACAAAATGGATGGTCACGGATAGAGGGCACTGTAGTCGTGGGTATGTGAATCTCAGGGTAAACGAAAGTCGTGTAAACACCACTAGGATCGCTTAAAGAGCAGCTTTATAGTAACCGCGTAGTACGGGAAGCTTTAAATGCTCTTCATTATTTGCTATACGTCCACAAATTTTGCTTTTTTGGGGATATCTAGGCGATTAATTAATTGACGTTTGTTAATTTATAGGTTGACAGTCTCAAATCGTGTCTCATCAGACAACTTCGGACAGACTCGTTTACCCTGAAACTCACATACCCAGGCGATATGGTCTACGGGTAAACTTTATTCCATTGATTTCAGCACATTTTTTTTCATTCCGAAACCGCTTAGATCAATTTTTTTGCAATTTGTTCTCGGTTACATGATTATTGAAAACAAAATGACTCCACTATGGAATTTTTTTACTATGGCGAGTATATTAAGTTTGGTTTGTTATCTCTTTAATTTTCTTTTTCAAATCTACAGTAACTAAAGACTTGTCTAACAATTCTAATCGAATCAATGAATTCATCAGACTACTCCTCATATCATCAAAATCATATCAGTCGAATAAACACCTCTAATTGTAAGTTCGTAATTCAATTCGTCATTCAATAAGTAATGAATTTCCATTTCCAGTTTTGCCGTCATGTCAAATAAAAATTAAAGCCATTCTTGTTTGTAATGTTAGGCAACTCAGATTGCACTTTAAAAGTCTCAGGCTAAGATCTTATGTAATGAAAGGAAATACCAAAGAAACTACCTTGCGATGTCATTCCCATTGTTAGCCCATTTCTGATGACGTCAGTTAGTGCCTAACCTGCTACTTATATTATTTAGTCAAATCCGAGTGGTAATAAATGTTTTAACATTTTGTGCTAAATGATTCACTCCTCAGGAAAAATTTCCCATGGAAATTCATTCACTAAAGATTCGTCTCCGAGAAATTGATTCCGCAGTATTCGCCAAAGAAAAACTACCGAAAACTCGTGAATTTTCTGGGGAGGATCTACTTGGGGGGCGAAGTGAAACTTTCGGGGCGATTTTTCTCTTTAATATCAATTTGACCTGATTTACGAAATTATATCTTCTACGTATACTTCCCCAAAAATTTGAAAATTCTTAGTAGCCTTACAACCCTCGGCATTACTACAACGTGTTGAAAAAAAAATAATAGAAAAATATTACTCAGCTTTATTGATGATTTGATGAACTCCTGAAAGTGCAGAATATTTGAAAAACGCTGTCAAAAGCCAACTCTTGCATGCGTGACCACCTTTATGGAGGAGGCGGATATACGTGAATTCATTTGGGTGCTTCACATGACAGGGTTTCCATATCTTTTGAAGCACAGTTGTATATTTTCGAAATTTCAAATACTGCTTCACAGCGATGCACCGAATTGGGGTAGGAATTTTAAAAACATTTCGTTAAACATTTGCTTCTTAATGGTGGTGGAGTGTTTCAGAAGCCCTGGAGAGAACAAGGTGTTGGATGGTGTAAGCAGGTCGTTGCATGAGGAGGGTGCCAGTCCAGTTTAGAAGGGCGAGCAGGTCTGTATCTTCTCCCCGAATTTCAACAGTGGGGTACTCATTTGCTCTTGCAATAGATTCCTTGACGAGAGTAGCCGCATCTTTAACTACTTGACGAACTACGAACCCCTCTGATGTCAGACAGGAAACTTTCTTTTGTCATTTTGATATCATAATTTCTAATTTCCGTAAATAAGGATAGTGACCGCAGAAAGCCTCTGTT